TCCAATCCTCCTTCATCTTGCCATATTTGGCTGGGATTACAGGCATATACCACCATGCCCAACTATTTATTTATTCTTTATATTACAAGGCATTGTATTATTTTTTGAGATTACATATAATAGGTTATATCATCAGTAGTTTTCACTTGAAGAGAATAATGTTGATTTACAAAATACTATAAAAAACTGTGGGGTCTAATAGGACTGAGAAGCATTGAGATTAAACTTTAATGCTCCTCCATTCAGTTTAAGGAGTGAAAAAATTACATTATGCCCTTTCCCAAAGGGTCCTAATAATAATCATTTATTTATTTGCACAGTCCTGTATTTTCACTTTTTTTTTTTTTTTTGGTATCAGGGATTGACCTTGGGGGCATTTGACCATTGAGCCATATGCCCAGCCCTATTTTGTATTGTATTTAGAGACAGGGTCTCCATTAGTTGCTTAGGGCCTCACTAAGTTGCTGAGACTGGCTTTGAATTTGCCATCCTCCTGCCTCAGCCCTGTGAGCCACAGGGACTACAGGCATACTCCATTTTCACAGCTTTTTGATCATAAATATTTCTTGATTCCATCCTTGGGATACAGTGCCTTCTACAAACCTGTAAATAACCTAGATGGTTCCTCAGTTCCAGATTTAGACGTCATGCAAGCCCTGGTTCTCCAGGATTTCCAAGTAAGCCCCTGACAAACATCTATGGTGAATGATTTTTTTTTAAATCCTAATTTACCTCAGACCAATAATTTTGAAATATAGTCTTCTATTTCTGTACATTGGGCCTGGCTAGTTGGAGTAAAACTTTTATTCAGTTGTGGGAACTGTCATAATAAAATGGGAAACTCTAAAAATTGTCATAACACCTTCAAAAATTGTCTTTGAAAGGATCACTCATCTTTGTTACTGGGGAAATTGCTGTGGATAGAAAATCAGAAATCAGGGGCTGGGGATATAGCTCAATTGGTAGAGTGCTTGCATCATATGCACAAGACCCTGGGTTCAAACCCCAGCACACACACACACACAAAAAAAATCAGAAATCAACTAGATCTGGTGGTGCACACCTGTAATTACATCTACTTGGGAGACAAAGACAGGAGTATCACAAGTTCCAGGTCAGCCCAGGCAATTTAGGAAGACCCTGTCTCAAAATTTAAAAAATTTAAAAGGTGGGGTGGGCAGGTGCTGGGGATGTAGCTCATGCTGGAACACTTGCCTAGCATATGTGGGGTCCTGAGTTCAATTCCAGTGCTGCAAAAAATTTATAACCAGAAACTATCCAACTACTAGACATCTATCTCCATGTGGGTAACCCACCACTTTCTCTCCAAACCTATACCCCCGAGTGTGTGTGTGTATGTGTATATGAGTGTACTGAGGATTGAACTCAGGGGCACTCGACCACTAAGCCACGTCCCCAGCCCTATTTTGTATTTTATTTAGAGCCAGGGTCTCACTGAGTTGCTTAGTGCCTTGCTATTACATGCACCTGACCCTGAGTATATTTTTAATCTCAGTGAACTGGAGCCATAAACAAACCAGTCACCCAAGCTCAAAGGCTGGGGTGGGATTGGGGTCATCCTTGATAGCTCCATTCCTGTTTTTCTCATCAATCAAGTATTAATTCTCTGTTTTGTTCCAATTTTAGTGCTGCTGAAACCTGCAGGTATTGATTCTCTTTCCTTAAGGCACTGTTACATTGGTAGCTCTGAATAAACTATTTTTTTATATTCACACCTTTACATAATCCTGTCTGAGAATTCGGGTAGGATTCATAATTTCATAGAATGCAGGAGAACTGACAGTGTGCCAATTCTGAGTTTAGCCTTCAAGAAAGCCTAACATACTCTACCAGAAAATTCTAGAATAAGTGAATTCAGCAAAGTAGGATATAAAATCAATATCCATAAATCAAATGCATTTATATACATCAGTGATGAATCCTCTGAAAGAGAAATTAGGAAAACAACCCATTCACATTAACAACAACAACAAAATCCTTGAGAATCAATTTAACAAAAGAGGTGAAAGACCTCTATAACAAAAACTACATGGGGCTGGGGCCGTGGCTCAGTGGTAGAGGGCTCACATGGCACTTGTGGGGAACCAGGTTCGATCCTCAGCAAATACATGAAAATAAATAAAAGTATTGTGTCCATCTATAACTAAAAATATCTTTAAAAAAAAGAAACTGAAGATGACCTTAGAAGATGGAAAGATCTCTTATGCTCTTGAATAGGCAAAATTAATATTGTCAAAATGAGGCTGGGGCTGTAGCTGGCCATAGTACCCAAAGCGCTATACAGATTCAAGTGATTTCCATTAAAACCCCAACATCATGGGCTGGGGTTGTAGCTCAATGGTAGAGCACTTATCTAGCATGTGTAAGGCACTCAATCCCCAGGACCATGTAAAAATAAATAAAGGTATTGTGTCCATCTATAACTAAAAATATTTTTTAAAAAACCAACATCATTCCTTATAGAAATAGAAAAAGCAATCATGAAATGCATTTAGAACAATAAAGAGATCCAGAATAGCCAAAGCAATCCTTAGCAAGAAGATTTTTCACAAGCAGGAGGCATCACAATACCAAACCTTAAACTATACTATAAAGCTATAGTAACAAAAACAGCATGGTATTGGCACCAAATACCATGGATATTCTGTACCATTGGTCTACCATGTAGACCAATGGTACAGAATAGAAGACACAGAGACAAACCCACATAAATATAGTTATCCTTTCATACTATACAAAGGCACCAAAAACATATACTGGAGAAAAGATAGCCTCTTCAACAAATGGTGCTGGGAAAACTGGAAAGCCATATGCAGCAAAATGAAATTAAACCCCTATCTCTCACCATGCACAAAACTCAACTCAAAGTGGATCAAGAACCTAGGAATTAAACCAAAGATCCTGTGAGCCTAATAGAGGAAAAAGTAGACCCAAATCTTCATCCCATTGGATTAGGCCCCAACTTCCTTAACAAGACTCCTACTAAAATAAAATCAAGAATCAATAAATGGGACAGATTCAAACTAAAAAAAGTTTCTTAGCAAAAGAAACAATCAGTGAAGTTTATATGTAGTGTCTGCCAAAAGCTCACAGGTGAGACAATGAAAGGTTTGGAGGAGAAATGATTGGGTCATAACCTTAAACTAATTAGTGAACTAATCCCTAATGGGATTGAGTGAGTGGTGACTGGGGTATGGCTGGAGGAAGTGGTTCATTGGGGGTTTGGCTATGGGGGTATATATTTTGTATCTGGAAGGTGGCATCTCTCTCTCTGCTTTCTGATTACCATGTGAGCTGCTTCCCTCTACCACTGTTCTGCTGTGATGTTCTGCCTCACCTTGAGCCCTGAATGAGGCAGACCTTCTATAGACCTCTGAAGCTGTGAGCCGCTAAGTAAACTTTTCCTCCTCTACAGTTGTTCTGGTTGGGTCCTTTAGTCACATCAGTGACAAAGCTGACTAAAACAATGATGACTAACTGTAAATTCTTTTAAGGACAAAGGCTGTTATCTAACTAGCAGAAGATCTGGTTCATGTTCATTAAGTAAGGGCATGTGAATAGCAACTCTCCTCAAAAGAGTTTCATAGGTAAAATACATACATGATTCAAACAATTTTTTTGGGGGGAGGGTGCTGGAAATTGAACTCAGGGGTAATTAGAGCCACATCTCCAGCCTTTAAAAAAATTTTTTTTTTTAGTTGTAGATGGATATAATACCTTTATTTTATTTATTTTTATGTGGTGCTGAGGATTGAACCCAGTGCCTTATACTTGCTAGGCAAGCGCTCTACCACTGAGCCATAACCCCAGCCCCTCCAGATCTTTTTTATATTTTATTAGAGACAGGGTCTCACTGAGTTGCTTAGAGCCTCACTGAGGCTGGCTCTGAACTCTCAATCCTCCTGCCTCAGCCTCCAGAGCTGCTGGAAAAGCGTCGACACTGCACCTGGCCAAATAAATTTTTAAATTCTAAGAATATGTTGGTTTTCTAAGGTGCAATCCTTACTACCACACTGTAAACAATTCAAGCATTCTCTAGTGTGTGGCACAAAGTATAAGCACCCAATCATTTGTTATGTTGTCTACCCCCTACATCATATAAAATGACCTCCATCTCAGAGCTGTACTCAACTAGGCTTTGCAATCTCACTCAACGGCTAAAAATCAGGTTTAGAATCCCAGAGTACAGAACCACAAGTTTGACCATAAAATGGAGACAAAACTGTGAGAAAGCACATCAAATAACCACCTAATTTTAACATGATATGTATTTACTTTGAAAATGAAGGCAGTGATATATGACCAAGAAATAAAACCCTTATCATAGTTTCAAGGAATGCATGAAATAGAAATACAATAAAACTTTATATAGGTATCCAACCAAACTTTTATTGGGTTTTATTGCAATCTACTTTTGGCAAGAAGGGGAAAGTGACCATAAGAACTCAGATCAGATTTTATTCAACAAAGCAGTTTTCATGAATGCTTAAGGTCAGTGTATAGTCAGCTCAGCTTCCAGTATCAACTTGAGTACCTCATTGTGGATATTTATGCCAGAATGACAACAGTAAGGCATTGCAAGATGCTACATCATCTAAGATTAAACCACATTTTACATATTATAATTTTTAGGACAGTAAAGTCTTCTAGTACTCTACAATAAATAAGGATTTTAAAAATGTGTTGCTTAGCCCTTGTTGAACAAAATTCAATTATTAGCTTATTCTTTAAGTACTCCAGTTAATAAAGGTTTGATTGTACTTCAAGAATCTGACTTTTCCAAAGATAAAAAAATTAGTTATTTGTTATGACAAAAATTAATCTTAAAAGCACATTCACACTTGTCCTTAAAAGCATGTTTACATCATATATAACTTCTCATGTCTGATAACATGGCTTATATAGCAAAAAGTTATATGCAAAGAACAACTAGAGGGCAATCCTCCCATCCCCACTTCCTCCAAAAAGCCACACTCGGCCTCAGTGTAAAAGTTGTATTTTATTGCCATGCTACAAAATGTATTAAGTTGGCACTGATAGGGAGAAATAGAGAACAAAGGGTGGGAAGGGACAGAGGGCAAATGATGTTACATATACAACAAGGTTTTATTTAAATTAACAGTGGTTAAGTTTTGCCAAGATTAAAAATGCAAACCAAAATTTTAAATGCTGATATGAAACAGCATTAAAATACAATTTGTGCATAGTACAGTATCACTTATGTCTTTTATTAGAGAAATATGGAATGTTTTTAAAAGAAATTAATTATGGGGGTAAAATTCATATTTCATATACAATTTGGCAATGGTAGTCCCACTGTTAGACAATTTTTATAAAAGAAAAAAATAAAAATCTAATAAGCTACCTTTATACAAAGTTGCTATATTTATGCCTTTACGTAGGAAAAAACATTTATTATGCAAATTAGGACATACAATAATCTTACAATATTATACAATGCAAATAAAAACATAACACAAAGTTTGTCCTTTATAAAACGTATATTTTGCATTTACTAATGCAAATGTGGCACACTGGTGACTACTGTACTATTGATACCAGTCTGTTTCCATGCTATATCGCCCAATTGTCATAAATTGCAACTATAATGATGCTACAAAAAAAATGTTATACCCCCCAAAAATGAGGAAGTAAGGATGGGGAACAGAGATGTAAAGAACAGGGAAAAGATAGATAGGGTGCTGGTTTGGGCAGAGTATATTGTGGTATGTCATAAAATATTTGTTAATTTTTCAAGCCAAAAACATTTTCTATACATTCTGTAATTTCGTACCAATGCCTTTATTCAAATTTGGCAAACATCAAGGAAAAGGTAATTAGTACCACATACCTCACACATCAGAAATATGAATGAGATGTCAATACATCAGTTACTCCTGAATGATGCCTTTGATGGTATGTCTATTTCCCAAATATATATATTTATACACACACTACACATTGCACAAAACACTTAGGCATTATGGGTTAGGAACAGCACAGGGGGAAACTGGGAAGTACTTGTCAGTTTGTTAAAATCTTTAACTTGAGGCAAACACCTGATGGCACATTGTTGTAAATTATGAAAACATAAGGCCCCTGTCCCATTTTTAACAGAACATTACTGAGGTACATTTTTATATACTGTGCCACAAAGTTTAGGAAGTAGGTAGGAAGATAAACATCAGTTTGACTTATTCTAATAACATTGAACTGGGGGCAGGGAGGGTAAACATTAATATCTATAAAAACAAAAACTGCTTGGCAAATTTTTTTAAGTCCCACATGCGATCTATTCTGGATATACTGAGAAGTGAAAAGCTTTTTACTGAGTCTTCAAGAGTAAAGTGCGTATCTCATCACTCCACAGCAGCAGTCAATAAAAGGAACTCTTTGCCAATCTTCCTGGAGAGAGGGAAGGCACCGTATTTTCATTTTTAAAAGGAAAATCAAACTGTGAAATAAAACACTAAGAAAACCATAGGTAATACCCATATCAGCTTCCAACCCTGGTCTGGGATAAATGTTGTTATGATCAACATGGATAAAAGAGGGTTCTACTAGGAAACCCAAATGAACAATGATTATATTTCCAAAGCCAAAAAGTAGAATCACATGTTCTATGAACAAAACCAAATATCTAAAATTAGATTAGTCTCAGAAAATCAGAGACATATGGCCACAATTATATGCCAGTAAAATATTGCAATCTAAAATGCACCTGGTAATAGGTACATTCTTCCAGGACAGGGCTTACTACCCATTACTAGACTACTGTGAAGGACAAGTAGTATTCTAACTTACTTTTCATTAAATAGGAATACAGGTGACTTCCAGAAGACATCCAGAATTAACACCAGTTGTATATCTCTTCCTAATATTCTTATAGTACCTTAAAATCAACTTCTTAGCAGACAAATTGGTCCCATTTTCATTTTTAAAGCACACAGCATTTAAAGCATAAATTGTACTGATTATCTTAGTTACCTAAAAAAATATAAAAACTAAATTAGAATCTGGAGGAAAAAGTAAAAAAGATGAGGGAAAGAAAAATAAAGTATCCAACCTCCAAAATGAATAAACAGATCAGCCCTTTCATTTGGAGATTTATATTCTGCCTTGACTGCTTGTTTCAGAGAAAACCATGTGCATTGGTTCCATAATAATAATTCTTCCATATTACAAAAACCAGTACATAAATTTGGCACAATTAGCAACTCTACTAAGAAAGGATAAAAATGGAACAACATATTAAAAATGGAATCAGGGAAACGCACATCTACACCACTGCTTTTTAAGAGAACAGTGAACCTTTTAGTAAGCACCAAATTCAGAGGGGGGGGGGACGGGATGGGACAACAAAATTCTTGCTATGCTAATAAAATAATGGCACTGAAAATGATGAAAAAGATACCTGTAGTATTTTTTTAAATAATGGTCCCACTCTATTGTTCTGCTAATCCATTCATTCTTCTATCACTAGGTTATTTATTGGATAAATTGGATGTTATATAAATGAAATGTTTTCTTACTAAATTAACCTTAGTTACATCTGGTAGATCCAGACCACAATCTCAAACTTCCTCATATTTAGAGAAAAACAATAAAATATTTTGCAAGGTTACCCAACCTTCTTTCTACTCAATCTTCTCTTATATTTTCTAGTGTTTTGGAATATGGAACATTGATTTTCCAAGAGTTTGACATCTGAACTCTCCTCAGTATATATAAACTTCCGTTCATTTTACACTCTAAATTATGACACAATCTCATTACTACAAGACTTCCACTGTACCTGCTATGCTGGCAACAATATTAACATTCCACTGAAATCAAGGGATAATCAGAGAACTGACTACAAGTGAGAGGACAGCAGAGCCAAGGAACAGCAGAGTGAGCAAGAGTACAACTGCAGCAACGTAGCTGAGGGAATTCTAAGATATCGCATACAGACAGAAGAGAAATTTAAAATTGAGAAAATGGTTTTTTTCAACTTGAAAAGTAAATAGCATATAAATAAATACTGGACAAGGGCAACCCTGTTATAGAATAACAGTAAGTTCCAAATGAACCTTCAAAACCATAATTTGACAAAAATGCAAACTAAGAAACAATGAACACATAATCCAATTTCAAAACTATATACAAACTCAAACATTTTAAATTGATAAAGACATTAAACAACAAAATATGACATCCCAAACACTAAGAAATTGAAGTTAAATGGGAACCAAATGACACAAAAGCCTCCAGAAAACAATGTGTCACCAATAAGCTATAGGAGAGAAAATTCAACAGATCTTGGTTCAGATTTTCAAAAAACGTTTTTGGGTAAAGTGACCTGAGACTGATTCTTAAGCCTACTGTAATTCTGAGTAAGATACCCAAACATGCCCTTCAAATCACATCATGAGATGAGTAAACAGAAAATCTTATCTCCTGCCTGTCTTTCAGCACACACCAACAGCAAACTATATTCATGACACAGACTCTTTCTAGTAACACTGAAGGCAAAGGAGCTGACTGCTATCAAAGGAGGTGTGGTATTTCTGTTTCCTTTTCATATGTTTTGGCTCAAGTCAAAAAGCCTTTAACTAGTGAAATAAAGGATTCCTCAGGTTAACATGCTGGAGGCCACATACTGTGAAGTGAATCTGCAAATATTACTTTCAAAGCCCTAGAGTTATGTGTTAGCAATGCACATTATCAAGAGGCTTTATAAAAAGTTTTAAATGCCAACCATGACTTAGACATGAAAGATACACGTAAGTCCCAGAATGTTGAATAAAAATCAACCAGCATGTCATTCATTTCAACTCTCATTTTAAATAGGCACTGTGAAAATGGGAATGCTGCTATACAATAATGAGTAGTATATAATGAAATTAGTCTTCTTTAAGGAGTACCTGCTCTACATTAATTCCCTTTAAAGATGCACATGAAATATTCAGAAAAAATTTTTATCAGTCTATAAAAGGAGTTAGTGTAGAAATGAAAATGAAGCACTTGCATCTTCATTTTAAAAAACTTCACAAAGGTGCAAACAACATAATGCTTTCCAGGCTCACATGGGCAGATCAGTACTATTATGTCTAGTTTTCCTAGATGTACCATCATCTCGTGGCAGTGCTTTCTGCAAATTTGACATAGCAGCAGTTCTCTCGATGTCTATCACAGCATACAACTCTGTGCGCCTGGTAGGGGTTTGTGGAAGGGGAGTAGTAGGCGTTTTTGGAGTCTGAGGGTTGTCAGAGTCACTGCCACCTTCCAAGTCAACCTGTATGTAATTGAGCTGCCTGTGTTCTAAACTTGGGCGTCTGATATCAAAGTTAAAGACTGTTGGTGTACAGTCCCGACGCCTTGAATATTCTATTTTGTGAGCACTTGCCGGCACTGTTACATTCTCTGTATTTACATAGTTATGCATTGGATCTAGATTATTATGGTAGCCATTTAGAGATGGGGTCTTTGGTCCTAAGTTGTCATCTTCATCCCTACTTAGCTTGCGGGCTTCCCAAACTGGAGGCAAAGATGGTAAATTTTCATAGTTTAATAATGCAGTTCTTCTCTGAGCTGAGTTGTTGATATTCTGGGTATCTGAGGTACTGGTAGATGTCAGACGACCTCTCCTGACCCCTGAGGCACTAGGGATAGATAGCCCATTTATATTTTCATATACCAGTTTGTTAACAGAGGGTGCATCTCTTCGTTCATCACTGTCATAGCCAGTGTCCCATTCTGTGTTATTCGCACCACTTGCACTAACTTGATCTCTTCCAAGTTGCTCCAGTTTCTCCTTTTCCATTAATTGCTTCTGAACAGGGGTTGGTCCTAAAACAAATTTGACACCTTCAGGTTCCAGAAGAATCTGAGGGTCCCTGTCTTCAATACTACTTGGTTCTTCTTTTGGTGTGTTGCATTCAGCATTAGAAACTCTTGCCTCCAATGGGACATGCACACTTGTGCGATTTTTCCGTTCTTCTTGCACACCTGTAGTGTTGACATAGGTATGTATCTAAAATGAAACAAAGTATATCAGTAACTTATTTAAAAATAAATAACTAAAAAACTTAAAAGTCTGACCCCATCACATTACCAAAAGTTTTTTGGTACCGGGCATTGAACTCAGGGGCACTCTACCACTGAGCCACAGCCTTATTTTGTATTTTATTTATAGATAGGGTCTCACTGAGTTGCTTAGCGGCCTCACTTTTGCTGAGGCTAGCCTCAGACATGCCATCCTTCTGCCTCAGGCGCCCATGTTGCTGGGATTATCAGGCACACACCACTATGCCCAGCTCTCAAATCTACTCTTAAGAATTTTGCACCTTTTTTTTTTAAACTAATAAAAAGGCAGAGAGCCAGGCATGGTGGCTATAAGCCCAGTGACTTGGGAGGCTGAGACCTAAGCAACTTATCAAAACCCTGTCTCAAAATAAAAAATAAAAAGAAGTGGGGATGTGGCTTCTTGGTTAAGTGCCCTGGGACTCAATCCCTGGTACTACCCCCCCAAAAAAACAAACAAACCAGGTAGGGAGAGAGAGGGGAGAATTATAAAAATATCTAAAATATGTTCCTACTTTGGTAAATGAATAACTACTTTAACATGCAATGTTACACTTGATGGTGAAATATGAAAAACATTCTATTAAAAAATCAGAAATAAAATAGGGATTATCACTTTGCTGTTGTTCTATGAATTCTTATCAGTGCAGTAAAACATGATTCAGGAATAAGAAATAACAAGTATTGAAAAGGAAAAGATAAATTTATTACTATTTATTGATTATCTGACTATTGTATAAAGAGAAAAACCCTAAAACAAAGATATAAAATAAATAACACACAGTAAGAAATCATCACTACTTAAAAAAAAAAAGGAAAGAAAGAAAGAAAGAAAGGAAGGAAGGAAGACTTCTTTAAAAAAAGCTCAATGGCATTTTGGAGAGATGATATAAAAATATTTGGAAGTCTAAAAAATTTTAAGATTTAAGAATGAAAGGCAACACTGGGGAAAATATAATCAAAATAAACAATGTAAGAACTTGTTTACTATGTAAAGAACCCAAAGAAATTTACTTTAAAAACACTAAAAATCTCTGATGCTGAAAAATCTTACGGTTTTACAAAAGGTGAGTTAATAAATAGATAATGGTCAACCAGATGTTTCATTCCACAAATGAAAATTAGAATAGTTAGAAACCTAGCTCCATAACAACATCAACAATATCTACCTTTTTACTAGTAGTTCAGTGATTATAAGACTAAGATATGAAAAGCAGCATAATTTTTTTTTTCCCTTTAGTACTAGGGATTGAATCCAGGGGTGCTTTACCACTGAGCCACATCCCCAAACATTTGTATATATTTTTTTGAGACAGGGTCTTGCTAAGTTGCTTAGGGACTCACTAAATTGCTGAGACTGGCTTTGAACTTGCAATCCTGCTGCCTCAGCCCCTGAGCAAATGGATCACAGACATGTGCCACCATGTCAGGCCCCATAAATTCTTGATCCATTGGAGATTATTACAATGGAAACTGACTGTTAAATACATCTTTCTCAATCTACAGATACACCTTTTCTATAAACTCTTAAACTACTACAATGCTATTTCCCTGATAACCTGTACATGTTTGAGATATGACAGCAAATACGTTAATTTCCTCAACTGTTGACTGTAAAAGTAGAAAAATCTTCAAGAATTAGCATAACACTTTACATACAATCATCACTGTTATACAGGAGCACATGCTTACTTGTTCCTCAGCCACAAGCAAAGGATGTGTAGATTCTTCACCAACTGAAGGTAAGCGAGCACTTCCTACAGAAGGATGTCTGCTTGAAGGATGAGATGAAGCATCTCCAAATGAGGGATATCTGGGATATCCATTAGGTAAGTTCTGAGCAGCAAACCCTGGAGCTAAGTTTTGTTTATTGGTTTAAGAAGGCAGGGAGATGGGGGTAGGGGCAGAGAGAATAAAAATGAATAAGAATCTAATCTGACTAAGGATTAAGAAAGAGGTTTCTTGTGAGACATTTAGAAATTAGAGCAAAAACAACATTCCCCCATCCATATTTTAGATAAACATTTTTTAAACATATTTAAAATGCTTATAATTATAGCTAACAGTTTTAAAAAATTGATAACCATGCTTCTATAAATAAATGGTGATTTCTAGTGCTATAAAAATATTCATAACATACAGCTTATATCTGATATTTCCCATAGTCTAATATTCAAATTATGAGAGGGAAAAATGCTACTTACTTGTAGGTGTTCGAGGTGTTCTGGGGACTTCCAATTCTGTCTGATGATTATTCCTTTCTACAACTGGCTCTTCTACCACATTTATACTATTGTTTTGCATAATCTCTTGCAACATGTTAAATAATTCTTCTGCACGGGCACACTTAAAGGCAAAGATTCCTACAAATATAAGCCCAAAGGGAAAAATGGCAACCACACCTTTAAAAAAGTTATAAGAGCATCTGTCAAAAAACAAAATTGTCAAGAAAACATTTCTTTTGCCAACAGCAAAAAAGGCCTTCTAAATAAATTTGATAAATTAATGATATTCCCTTTTTCAAAACATAAACCCAATAATAGAGTTCTCAGAACAGTTTTCACTTATTTAAAAGACATGACCCAAAACAAAGCAGACAAGATGTTTACACTTACTCCACTCTGCTTTTAACAGCAGGGGGAGCTCAACTCACCATTAACAAGGTAATCCTTTACCATTTAACAAGCCCCTTGTTAAGAGTTATTTCGTTATCTTGTTTATCTGTAACATAAGTATTACCATTCCCCTTTTATAAAGTGCAGGAGAGGACAAATAACTTGCCAAGGCCATTTAAGTAGTAGCAAAACAAAACAAAAAACTAAAAACAAAAACAAAACAAACAAAAAAAACCTGTTCCGTTCAACTCAAAGTTTAGGTTCTTTCCCCAAATAAAAACAGTACAGATACTGAGTCAATTTAACAGGAAAAATCACTTACTGGCCTACTCCTTAAAGTTAACACAAGTCAAAATTTCTGACATAGAAAATGTGCTTAATACATGCTTGATAAATACAAAGTTTGTTATATTTTTTCTAAACAACCCACCTATTTGGGGAATTTTCTTTTAAGAGAAAAGTAAATATTAATTTCAAAACTGTATATAAAATAACTAAAAAACAATATTTCAAATATGATAATACCTTGTCCAGTTTGACACCTTCGGCCACTTTCAAAAGAAAAGAGATTCGAGTCATAGCCATAGCGTCTCAGGCAGAGGTAGTGCCATTTTACTGAATCACGTTTGCGGGTATATAGAATCAATTCTGTGTCTGTAAGTTCCATTATGCCAGAACCTAACTCATTCCCATCATCATCCACATTAATGACCTAAAAGAAGATGACAGTCATACAAACATTTCACCAATTCATCAGGAAAATGCACTATTGCTGATTGATTCAGTTACTTGCTTGTTGTTCATTCATCAACTAATGTGTGTGTGTAGGGCAGAAATGTGTAATAGCATAATGCCTAGTTGACATCTGTTAGGAATTTACTCTCCTACTGGAGAAACAAGATACACAAGCACAAGTTGACACTACAAAACTCTGTATTATTAATTGACAAATGAATGCAACAGAGACTGTAGAAGGTAGCAACTATCATCTGCAGTTATTGGAGAAACCTTTATATAAGAAAAGGAGGGCCTTTAGTTGGACATGGGGTAAAATTAAATTTAGACAAGAAATCAAATAAGAGGGAAAATCTGGTTGCTTAGGAGATGTAGGACACAAAATGAATATGTAATGCTAAAATACAACAAAGAAGATACCTTTCAAAGAGACCAAAATAAGACTGGCACAGAGTTCAGGTAAAGAAATGTATTGTACTGCTGAGCGTGTCCAAGACTAAGAATAACAGGTAACATTTATAGAGAAGTTATTGCCCTGGGACAAGGTAAGGTGCTTTATGTATATTTTTCTCATTTAATCCTTATAACAACCCTAAACTAAAATGCAATTAACACTTAGTGATAAAGTACTCTGCCCAAGGTCGAAACTATAAAGTAGGAGAGGTGTGACCTAAACTAGGTTAGTGTGATCCAGAGGCTATGACTTAAAGCAGAGAAGTCAGATTATGAGACACTTAATAGCTGTGGGTGCTTTCAGCCTATATGTAACAAAATACCACAGGAGTTTCAGCAAACAGGTTAAAAAATGATGAAAGAAGATCAATATGTTGGTAACTATAGGATGGGTCACAGGGTGATTAGAATAAAGTACAATTAAGAAATCATCTAGGTATGCATGAAAATTATAACGGAAAGGTGGTGCTACAGTTTGGATCTTTTTCTTTATATATATTTTTCTAATACAATTTCATATTGTCAGAATATATATATTTTTTTAAGTTGGATATCTTTATTTATTTATTTTTATGTGGTGCTGAGGATCGAACCCAGGGCCTCGCACATGCTAGTCGAGTACTCTACCACTGAGCCACAACCCCAGCCCTACAATTTGGATCTTAAGTGTCCCCTAAAGACCTATGTGCTAAAGGCTTAGACCCAAGCCTGGGGCACAAGTGGAAAGCAGTGGAACCTTTTAAGAAGTAGAGCCTAGTGGGAGATCTTCTGGTTATAAAGGGTGTGCCCTTGAAGTAAATACTGAGATCCTCCTCCTCCTTCTTCTTTTTGTTCTTTGCTATGAGGTGGGTAGTTCTGCTCCACCATGCACTCTGCCATGATGGACTGCTATCTTGTCACAATCTCAAAGCAAGGGAGCAAATGGATCATGGATTGAAACCTCCAAAATTGTGAGCCAAAATAAACCTATTCTCTATAAGTTGATTTATCTCAAGTATTTGTTACAATAACAGGTGGTGATGAAATTGAAAGGCACTTATAAAATGACATTTTAAACAAAGTATTACCAGAACTGTATGGTTAATTGAATACAGAAGACCAAATGAAAAATAAAAAAGGATTCCTACTATGGTTAGGATGTTGCTAGTCCCCAAGGGTTCATGTGTCAGAGGCTTTGTCTACAGTGTGGCAATGTTGAGATGCTCCTTAACACTGGGGCATGCCAGACGGCATTAAGGTAGTTCTTGAGGGACCTCAGTTAGTCCTCAGTGACTCTTTAGATTTCAGTCTTGGAAAGTAAATTTCTTGCACGCATTCCCAGCATTGTGATTATATCTGCCATGAGGTGGTATAGTCAAGTGGGCCAGAGCCAAGCCTCAAAAACTGTGAGCTGATTAAACCTCTTTTATGGTTTAGATACGAGGTATCCCCCAAAAGCTCGTGTTTGAGACAACACAAGAAAGATCGGAGGTGAAATGATTTGGTCATAACTCTTAACCTAATCAGTACATTGTAGACAGGGTGTAACTGCAGGAGGTGGGTTAGTGGGGATGTGCCTTTAAGATATGTATTTTGTCCCTGCTCTGCAGTGTCTCTCTTTCTGCTTCCTGGAGGCCTTGTCTGGAGCTGTTTCCTCCTCCACTCTTTAGCCATGATGTTATTATGCCTCATCTCAGGTCCACAACAATAAAATTGACTATCTATGAACTCAGACCTCTGAAACTCCGGGGGACAAACTTTTCCTCCTTTAAAATTTTTCTAGTCAGGTCACAGCAGTACAAAAGTTAACTAAAACAACCTAGTTTCTTTGTAATGATTTAGCCTCAGATATTTCGTCATATTAATGAAAATTGGACTAATACAATTTCATATTGTCAGTAAGAAAATGTCATTATTTATTCACACAAAAAAAGGCAGGATAGGGGGAGGGAAGCAAATGAGAGTCTGGTGATAAAAGTGAAAAGGTAACATATATTAAGTAAAAGAAGTACATCCAAGTATGTGGTGAGATATATAGCTCAACCAGTTTTACTGACCTTAAACTTATTCCGATGGTTATCTGGGACAGTGTCTTTATCTGGACAGCTACAACAGCTACCCATGGCTTCTTCAGAAGACCATGTGAGCACTACATGGAAAATAATTTGGAGAAAATTATTTGGTGAAGGATATAAAAACCACAAAATAGAAAAGGGCTTTAGAAATCATCTAACATAGCCAGGCACAGTAGCACACACCTATGATTGTAGCTATTCAGGAGGTTGAGGCAGAAGGATTGTAGGTTAATATCAGCCCGGGTAACTTGGCAAAACCCTACCTCAAAATAAAAATTTTAAAAAGGACTGATGATGTAGCTCATCAGTAGAGCACCTGCTTAGTATGTATGAGGCCTTGGTTTCAATCCCCAGTGCTGGGGAAAAGAAAAAAAATCATCTAACACAAGCATGATATTTTTAATTATAATTATGAATGTATAAATAATGAGTTTCACTGTCTCATTTCCATACAAAGTATAATATTTTGATACAGAAGAAAATTAAGCTCCAACAAGGTTTATGGCTGAAGCTAAATTTCAAATAACTAATTGGTCAATTGTGGGGTGGGGTTACCAGGGATTGAACTCAGGGCACCTGACCACTGAGCCATATTCCCAGCCTTATTTTTTATTATATTTAGAGATAGGGTTTCACTGAGTTGTTTAGCATCTTGCTTTTTGCTGAGGCTGGCTCTGAACTCGAAATCCTCCTGTCTCAGCCTCCTAAACCACTGGGATTATAGGTGTGTGCCACTGTGCTCAGTAAGTTGGTCAACTTTGCTTAGTGACAATAAGAACAAATTTTTGTAAAGCAGATGTGACAGAAACCTAAAATTTCCAGTTTAAGTTAGAAAAGTCTGTCACATATTTTAAAATTACTTAAAAAACAAAGCAATTTATAATCTGACATATAATACTATTTAAACAATTAATGTACTGTTATTTAAGAGTTAATCACATAATTAATCCTTTATTATCACAACAGGGATTTCATGTCCTTAAAAAAAAAAAAAAACAATTGCCAAACCTTGCTAGACCTCTAGCTTGGCAGGATTGGGGGGGGGGGGGCAGTAATTGGAGATTAAACCTAGGAAAGCTTTACCACTGAGCTACATCCCCAGTCCTTTTTAAATTATGAGACAGGGTCTCACTAAATTGCTGAGGCTGAACTTGTGATTCACCTGCTTTAGCCTCCCAAGTTGTTGGTATTCAGCATGTCCCACAATGTCCAGCTGCCTTTGGTTCTTATTAGTCACTATAGGCTCTCTTATACACCCTCAAGACAAAAATTTATTAATAAGATACAACATCAATTTGGAATAGTACATTAGTAAGAGAGAAGACCAACTCAAAATTTAAGCAGTAATATTACACAGAGAATATTGGCAGAATGGATAGGTATGGCTATATAATTGTTCTTTTCCACAGAAGATTAGCAATAAAAAGTTATATAGGCAATGCTAAGTGTTCAAGAGCATTCCAAATGAACAAAGAGGAAAAATTCAAAATTAACACTTCTAATTTTGGGAAAGAACCAGAATGAATATGACAACAGTTGAAAAGGGAGAGGGAGGGGAACACGGGAGCTACAAAATATAAACATAAATCTGATTGAAACTTGTTTAAAATTCTTCAGTGCTTCTCCACCACTTTCAGGATAAAATTTTAAATCTTCAGTATAGCATAAGGTCCTTCAAAATCTGGTTAAAAGGTTCAGTTTTAACTCTTCCTGCCCTCTGTTCAAGCCCTACCCTTAGTCTAATCAGACTGAACAAGCTACAGTTTACCCAGAGAATCTTTATTCTCTCACATCATTCTATAACCACTCTCCTTCTGCTGCTTCTCTTTCTCAAGTTTCAGAAGCCAGTGCCTCTAGGAACTCTTTATGGCTCCAACCAACCTGGGCTTCCCATACCAAAGCACCTATCACACAATTTTTAGTAGAATTGTGACAGGCTGTTTATCTGTTGTTCTCCGGCCACAGTTTGCAAAGGCAGACCTCATTTGTTCTTGCATTGCTAGTGCCAACACAATGCCTAGCACACAGTAAGTGCTTCAGTCCCTTTGTGAGCTGAACAGGGCTTTACTGAACAAAAGTGAAGAATGCTTGGCAGATTTAAGTACTAAGAAGATTAAAGGTATACTATCCAGTAAAGTTAGTTAAGATCCATGATGGTTGATATTTTACTCTTAACTAATATGACAACTAAGTATCATGATACAGCCAGGCACAGTGGTGCACGCCTATAATCCCAGCATCTTGGGAGGCTGAAGGAGAAGGATCGAAAGTTTGAAGCCAGCCTCAACAACAGCAAGGCAGTAAGCAACTCAGTGAGACCCTGTCTCTAAATAAAATACAAAATAGGGCTGGGGGTGTGGCTCAGTGGTTGAGTGCCCCTGAATTCAATCCCTGGTACCAAAAAAAAAAAAAAAGTATCATGGTGCAATGATGATTAAGTCACTGCTTGTACTTCTGAAGAGCAGTAAGTCTAAATGGAGAGAAAGAGACATAAATAGATTATGCACCATAATCAAATATGAGCAGAGTTCTGAGGGCCCAGGGAAGAAATAAGGATGGGTAGAGCATAAAGACAACCTGAAGCAGATAACATTTATCATCCTAAATTTCTATTGTAAAACAGAACTAAAGGCTTACAGAATGAGGGATTTATGGAGACTGGTAAGATCAGTCATCAAAGTACTACCCCCCCAAAAGGTAGCTAGACTAAGTAGGCTGTGATGAGAGCTCAGTGAAGGATAGAGATCAAGATTATGCAGTTTGCTAGCTATGCTCTGCAGTCCAGGGTCAGAGATAAGAGAACAAAGAAATTAAAAGATGTTGGCAATGCATGAGTTTGAAGTGATGGATCATCTGACCATTAGGAAAAAAAGTTGAAAGATGAGAGCTAACTAAAGAAAATGGAAAAAGAAAAAGAACACAAGCTCAGCAACTTAGCAAGACCCCGTCTCAAAATAAGAAGAACTGAGGATATAGTTTAGTGGTAAAGCACCCTACGTTTTCAAATCCCAGTACAAAAAAACAAAATCTAACAGGCTTGGTATGAGTGAGGGACTGAAACTGCTAGAATATAGGCAGTTGTCTATCTTCCAACTTCTAGAAAGAGGAACCCTCACACCCTTTTTCAAAAACTTACTTGCTAACTTACTTTATCCACTCATTATTTATTTTGCTCTTGGGGACTGAATCCAGGGGTGCTTTACTACTGAGTCACATCCTCAGCTCTCAAAAGAGATTTTTTAATGTCAAATTTATTCACTTCCCCCGACTCCTCTATTTTTTTGGGGGGGGGTGTAGATGGACACAATACCTTTATTTATTTATTTTTATGTGGTTCTGAGGATCAGGCCAGTGCCTCATACATACTAAACAAATGCTCTGCCACTAAGCTACAACCGCAGTGCCTCCCTGCCAGATTCCTCTTGAACCATAAAATCCTAGGCAATGGGAAAGGCTAAATACTAACTATTCTGCATTTATGACCACCAGATTAATATTTGGAGACCACATCTGAGTTATTTGAGACTTAATAATATGCACTAATAGTATAAACACTTAATGAGAAACTATGTGGTCTCATCAGCATCACTCTTCCAAGCCAATAACTCAGCAAAAATGCAAATGCTTTTGTTATGCACCCTCAAAAAAGGAACTAGGGTATATTCAAGAATAAAGATAGCTCCTATTTGGGAAGATCGATATTTCAATGAGTCTACTGAATATTTTAAGTTCATATATATTTTCTTGGTTTAATTAAAACCATTTTTCCTTATTCTTTGGAGATGGAAGAGTCAGCAAATAGGAGGCAAAGTGCTTGCTTTCAAGAAAACATTGGGGAGAGGGAATGGATATAGAAAAGACAGTAGAATGAATCAGACGTCACTTTCCTATATTCAAAAATGAATACACAACCAGTGTTAACTCTACATCATGTACAACCACAAGAATGGGAAGTTACACTCCATGTATGTATAATATGTCAAAATATACTCTATTGTCACGTATATCTAAAAACAACAACAACAAATGCATTAAATTCTCCAATTTAAAAAGAAAAATTATTAAGTTGTGGGCTTGGGCCCTTTTTACCTAAGGTAATTTTAACTCACCTAGATCTGGCCATTAATATTCTTAGCCTCTGCTGCTGCATCAGGAGTTTAATCATACTTCAAAATACCATGTTTTATTTGTTTGCTGACTTAACCTAGAAATAGTAGAAAAAAGTTGAGAATTTCTTATTTCTTTTAAAATATTAATTTTTCTTATGAGATTTGTGTGTGTGGGGGGGGTTTACTGGAGATGAACACAGAGGAACTTCACTACTAAGCCACATCCCCAACCCTTTTTATTTTTTATTTTGAGACAGAGTCTCACTAAGCTTGCTTAAGCCCTCACTTATTTGTTAAGGCTGGACTTAACTTTCCCCAGCTTCCCAAGTCAACTGGGATTACAGGCATGCACCACTATGTCCAACTCCTTATGAGATTTCTGATAGCATTATTAGCTCAGTTAACCTATTTAAACAAACTCAAAAGTCCAAAAACTGATAGAAAATTCTTTAATAAGATAAATTTTTAAAATTAATGATTTGTACATATTAGCATTCTTTTAAAAAAATGTAAAAATGCAACAGTCCAAATTCTGTGATGTGTCTGGCTTCTCCACTATAGCTAATGACACTGGATAACTCACTTCTGCATACTTATATCCTAAGCCATAAATAAGGGTTAGATTAAACCACCTTCAAGATCCCACTCCAGCTCTAAATCCCTATATTTTAGCCAAGGGGCAGACTAATTCTCCAACTTTTTCTAAACCTCATGTGCCATCATTTGTCCTGCAAAGGAATGACTCTTTTTAGAATCCATGCTCTGTATCTTCCTATTCCACATGACCCCCTAGAACCAGAGAAGTCATTCAGAAAACAATAATAAAAAGCAATGTCAGAGCTGGGGATGTGGCTCAAGAGGTAGCGCGCTCGCCTGGCATGCGTGCGGCCCGGGTTCGATCCTCAGCACCACACACAAACAAAGATGTTGTGTCCGCCGAAAACTAAAAAATAAATATTAAAATA